AGATGTGAAAGTAGAACACCAGAGACCAGCTCTTTGTTTTAGTTTGAATGCTCTGTTTTTGTGCGTGCTTGTTTCACTCCTCTTGCTAAAGCCTGAAAAAGTACCTTTTTGTACCATTTAAAGGTAGAAGTTCACACACAGTCCTGCTGAAGGAAAAAAAGCACTCTTGTCACTCAGAGCAGACTCCTTTTCTATAGAGCTATTCCGTGGCCAAGGGATAAATATCAGCCTTCTGCATGACGTCTGGTTAGACTCTGCATCTTGCTCTGTTTTTTTCTAAATCTATGTAAATAATGTAATGATATACTTTCTGTTTATAAGTATAATTCGGGACATTATACATATTAATGTCATAGTTGTATCTCTGCATTTATAATGTATATAAATTTATTGACAGTGACAATATTCTTAGGATGGTTGGATGCTTTATCAACTACCCTGAGGTAATGCAGAAAGCATATGTACAGTATCATTAGTTACCAGTTCCATTGTGTAATGGTTAGTATAAAATTAATAAAGGAAAAGCAAAGATACACAAGAACTTTAAAAGCACATGGAAATATATCCCTTTTCAGCGATTATGAGTAATAGCAATGAGCAAAATAACATTTGCAATACGGAGATGTATTAACGATTTAATAAGAGGTAAAAAAAATAAGATTTTATTATTGTTGTTTTTATTTGTCACAAAGATTAATTAAAATCTGTTTTATACCTCTAGAGAAATCTGTAAGTGGTTCAGATTGTTGCTTGTCTTCAAAGGGGACTGTAAACTTTTTCCGTCAAACTAACTTTTCGGTATCTTCTGGGAATTTATGGCCGGCAGCCAACTGCAATTAAAACAGTTCTGCAGGTTTCACTAAACTCTTCCTTTACTGTATAAGGCCGAGGTTAGGACTGGGAATAGCTGGGTTATTTTCAATGCTTGCTTATATCTTTCCTCTTTTTTGTAGTCTGTTCTTGTTCAGCAGCCTTAAGTGCAGTACTTTTGCAGTCTTTGATGAACTCTGTAGAACTCATGGGCAAGTAAAAGGGAAGACAGCTGTTGGAAACAGTTTTTTTTTAATCTTTTTTTTTTCCAAAACGGATTTTGGGTTTGTAAGAATCGAATAACATGCAACTGCTGCTGGTGAATTCAGAAGATTTTCTGTGTCAGCATAATGATACTAACATTTAGGAAATGTAGAAGAGCCTGGGATTTGGTATTTGTCTTGGGATTGAGAAGAGAATGCCTACCGGGGAACTAAAGCTTGAATGAGAACCAGTTAGGTCTTAACAAAGCTTGAAAAAAGATGAGAAAATAAAGACATAAGAAAGGTTGCACTCTAGAGTAGGCTGTATGGTTCATCTACCTTGTTTGGTTAGGAATAGTCAATTGATCCACAATTTATCATAAGAGCATTTTATGACTGAAAAGGTGTGGAGTTGAGCTTATCTTCAGTGAATTTTTGTTTACTCTTTCAAGAGGTAACTATAGTCAACTTGGTCAGCTCTTTATGACTTCACTGTTCTATTTTAATGTTGTTACCTTATGTACAATGCCCATAGTCTCTACTCCTGATTCATTGCCTGGGATTTTACATCTCTGTGTAAGACCCTGCTTTTCCCATGATTTGCCACTCCAATGTTTTGTGCTTATACTAGAGTAAAACCTGCAATTAACTAGAATTTTTTCACACGGACTCTATCCATTTCAAAATCAGGCTCTCTTTCAGAAATGTTACTGCTACTGCAGTACGTTTTCAGATATTACTTAACTACTGATCTGTATTGCCGACCTACATAACGTGGTCATTTATTTTGTTAACTCACCAAAAGAAAACCATCAAAAAACCTTGAAAGTAACAAAATGGCCTCAGATGTGTTATAGTGTTCCTATTTTCTTTTTCAAACCTTGGTGCTATAAGACCATGCTATTATGTGCTGTTTAAATTGCTCTTTTATGTAGCTTTTGAAATTTGTAGCTATGAAATTATGTAGCTGATGAAAATTGATTTATATATATACACTTGTAAATGTGGCATAAATGGTTGCGATATTTCCGCAGAGTATCTTTTCATCCTTGATTGCATTGAAAGGCACTGTATGAATAACAGCTAATTTATTGTTATTATTTTTAATTCTGTTTCCCTGGTTTGATCCTTAAGAGTTACAATATGAAAGCTCTTAGACATTCAATGAGACTTCAGTTTTAAAAGCAGAATCCTGTAAAAGGAAGAGGACTTCAAAGAGAAGGGCCTTGTACAGATAGATTTGTTTCCCATAGAAAAGTGCTCTTGGCAATTGCGTATACGTAGGTGTGTTTTGTTCTTCTAGTTTAACGGTGACACTTATTGCCGTTTGCAGTAATAAGCTTGGGTCTCTTTTTCAAGTGCACAGCAGTCCCATTGCTGACAGACTGTGGGATTAAGCAACAAAATTAACTCATAATAAAATGAATCAATCATTGTGACAGTTTGTGTAAATGTAGCTATTGAGAGCATTTTTTCCCTGTTTCCCTGGGCTTGATCAGAAGTAACTGGGATGCATAAAAATAGAATTAACCTTTTTCTATGTCTGGGGGGCTTAGTTTTTTTTTATTTAATTCTAATAATTTACAGATTTTGTTCTTTGATTTCACTATAGTAAATGTGGCCGAATGCGCCACACTTCCTTTCTGACACCTGTGAATGAAGAGAAAAAAAAAACATAACTCGATTTTTTAACAAAGAACACAAATGGTCATTTTCTGAAAAAGAATAGTTCAGCAGTGGAACACACCAAAACTTTTTATGTAGGCTTGAAGTCATTTTACTGAGATTTTAAATGACAGAATATAATTTTAAATACACGTCACATTTTATGAAACTGACCTTTTAAACTGTAAAAGTATTTTTTCTAATTTTAAAATGACAGAGCTGAGCATCTTATGTATTGGTATTCAAACCTCTGCATCAGTTTTTTGTGAATATTTGAAGTCAGGAGAGTTTTTATGAGCAACGCACTTCTATGATACCTTTCTAATTTGATTTAATGCTCTGTGTCTGATAAAGACTAAATCTAGCTTTTCATTTCTTTCATTCATAATCATGTACTTCAATCACTGGAATTCATTTAGTCATTTCATAGAAATGCTACATTAGGATGTAGATTTTATGGTTTACTAATTGTCACTGCATACGCATTATTGTTTTGTTTACAAATAGCATATCGATAGTAAAAATTATTCGCTGTGCCAAGCCTTAATCTAAAGTAATGTAGTGATGACAAGAAAGCATTGGCTATACAGCACCATACTTTGCTTTTTCTTGGTTCTTTTAATGTACTAGAATGGGGTTTAAAAAAACTTTCTCCTTTTAATTCCAGCTGAGCTCACAGTTACTTAATTGAATTCTTAATTGAACTAATTACTTGTTTAATTAAAGGTTCTTCTAAAAGCCAGAGATTTCAAGTCAGACGTGAAAATTTCGCAGGTACCCAGAAAACTCCTGAAAAACAATTAGACGTCAGGAAAGCGATTCATTTAATAAGGAGTTTTGTTAAGTAACTCAGAGGTCAGCGTAAGAAAACAAAGATATGGAACTGCAGACACAGAGTTCCCCAGGACCATGGCTGAAAAACTGGCTACTTGTGCCCTCTGAAAGAAAAGTGCCATCACTTATGCCACAGTTTTCTGGTTTGTTTTCGTGTTCTGTCTTGCTTGTCTGTGTTTAACATTCTCCAGCTCAGTTTCAAATGATTTAAAGCATATGCAAGGAGCTACGTTGCTGTGTTTGATGCTGCTGGGGCTTATCCTTTGGCACTGAAATATTGCTTTCTCTCTGTTCAACTGGTCAGTGCTGGGGCACAAACTGAACTTCTAAGCCGAAGAAGAACTTCCAATATCCCTCACTCTTCCTGTTTTCCTTGTACGTGTTGCTTGCCGACAGCGAACATCTGAAACATAAAACATCAGCGAACATCTGAAAAATAAAGTGCAATTATCCTGCATTTACAGGTCTTTTGTTATGTAAATGGACCTTCTTTGTTTAATGATTTTGGTCCATTTATTTTCTGAAAGTTGGAATTTGTTTAAAAACCCAAGTGAATATAACAAGACGTGCTACAAATGTTTTTTTTAATTTATTGCAAGGTTTGCTTAATGAGAAATCCATAGTGTTGTTTTTTTTTCTCGCTGCATAATTCAGCAGAGGTTTTTTTTTTTCTTCAGCAGTTTTCCTGTCGCTGGAGTTTTTAAAAAAAGGATAGCACAAAGTATTGTCTGAGTAAGGTGGTTTCCCGGCTTATGCCTGTTGTATTACCTTCATGTTTTTCACAGCTGTCCATATGTGGACAGCAACAGATTTGGACTTACTCCTCAGTGGAAAACGGTATATATATAAAAGATCCATATTTAAAATATATTTTATATCCCCGTACAATGGAACCTATAAGCATTGCAGCAGGTCTTGAATTGCCCAACATAAATAAAGAAAATCTTTAAAAAAGAGCAGCTTTATTTTTGACACAATTCAGAGTTTTTTGTGAGCAAAATCTCAGTTTATTGCTTTCACTTAAACAAAACAAAAGATGCAAAATACAAAACCTAGCAAGAACAAGACAAAGCCCTTTCACCAATATGCCAAGCACCTACCTACCTCTGCTTATCTCTTACTTGAATTAACTGTGCGCAAGACATTCAAAGACTTGGAGCAAATGACTTTGGAACACCTGCAGGAATGTGACCAGGCATTATTTCAACATGCACTTGAAGGGAGAAGGGGTTAACCACTGATGCCAGCTACTCAGACTTCACTGGACTGTGTGCTGGCTCAGCTTTAACTAATTTGCTGTTTAATGCATTAATGCTCTTGTAATGCAGCTGCTGTTCTGAGCCTTATGTGGGTTTCAAGCTCAGGTCCTTTAGGGCTTCAGCGCTCACGGCATTGCTCCACTGAAACGAAAAAGCCGGCAGGCGAGGCAGGACCTCAGACGCCTCTTGGATTTCACCACAGCTTTTCTTTCACCATTTTGTCTTGCAGGTCTCACAGCCGCTGCCATGGCTGAGGCAATGAAGCTCCAGAAGATGAAACTGATGGCCATGAACAACCTGCATGGCACAGGCAGCCAGAATGGCACGGAGTCAGAGAACGAGGAGCTCAACTCCAATGCAGGTAAGAGGAGAGTCCTAACTCATCGTCATCACATGGGTGGATCGTCCTCGGTCTCTGGACTTTAAAGGGACAGTGATAGTGACCGGAGCTTATTGAAGAGACTGGCAATAACATGGACTGAGCGTGTTATTGAATAAAACTGGTCACCCCCTATTGTTATTTAGGGGGTTTTATTATATGTTATTGGGCCCTTCATTCCAGGGCTGCACGGAAAGGTATTTACCACATCTTTTAGTTTGTTCTCATGGCCCAGGTCTAATAATTTTGGTCCGGTCAACTTTTTTTTTCTGTGCTCTCATCTTTTCAACCATTTACACTACTGGCCGCAGACACTTGACTTGCTTTTTCAGGGATCTCTATATAATGAATGTGTTCTACCCTGCAAGTGATTTAAAAAGCCCCTGTCTGTGAAAATCTGGGCCTCCACCTTTCTCATACCTCTGTTCATTGATTTGATTTTAATTCAGTGGAGGCCAGTTTAGTCCTCCTTCATTGAGATAAAAGTTTTGTATTCGCCATTATATCTGCACATCTGTCCTGTCATGAGGTTTCGCATTCATGTAGGTGTTTAAATATTCTCCAGAAGGGTAGCTGTCTGCTAAAATACCTAATTAATTATTGAATTGACAGCCACAGTGCTTTTTTACTTCACATGACCCACATTGACATCTGCATAACACTGACCACTCTTCAAAAAACTCACAGCTACTGTATGTATCGGCTGTGAGCCAGAGACAGTGTTTCTCCTTGAGTAAATTCGCTCGCTTTCTTTTCTGAGTGTAAATGGAAAATACAAGTGTCTATACAAGCTATAATATTAACACCATTTGCGCATACTGTATGCAGTGCAATGTATTAGGAAGTATTTCTGCTGGTGGCTTTGGGAATCACACACAAGAGATCTTATACCATTTACAGAAGCTAAATCAGAATGAACAGTTTATTTAGAAACGGGATTGTTTAGTTATAAATCACTCATGGCTTGTCTCACTCTATCATCCTAGTTAGGAGTGATTCCAGGTAATTGGTTCTGGCTATGTGTCCCTTTGCTTAGATATGTTTTATTGAGGCTAATAGCCTCCTTAATAGCTACGACCTGACTGTGCATTTAGATTGCTTTGTGACTAACAGCCCTGGTACAGGGCCATTCAGTTTAGGAGATGACAGAAACCTCATTTTATTGGGGTTTTTTTTGTGTTATCTTTTAAAACCTGTTTCTGATTTTGTGGGAGCGTGAGCTTGAAAATGATAAAAGGAGCATTAAAAGAAGTGCACATTAAGAATCCTCCCCATGTACTACAAATTCAAAATGTTTAGACAAAGCCTGCAAAGGACAGACAATGTGGCAAACACTTAATTGATACAGAGGACACGTTCCTAAAAACACCTATCCTGAGTCGTTTAGAAATAATGCAGGCTACTCATACAGTGCAAAATGGCCATTATAACTAATTTAATCTTTTACTGGTCTCACTAAAATGGCATCTCCTTAGATTCTTCAGTAAAAAAGAATTGACATCCAAAGATGTCAGACCTCTTTTCTTTTGGATAAATTATGAACTGCAGTGATTGTGACTTGAATAAAATGCTTTCGTTTTAGACTAAAGTTGACTTTTATCCAATATGCGGTGGTAGAAAAGCAGTGCAGGAACATTGGAGGAAACACACAGAAGAAGACACAGAGCAGTGTTTGCAGGACTTCTTGGGTAACGCAGTGGTCAGCAAATATTGTCTGATGAATGAGTAAACAAAATTATTCCTTTTCATAAGCGTGCGAGAACATAAGGAAGGTTGAACAAGAGAAGACACCAGTGGGATCCTTCTAGCTTCTTAGCTGTGTAAACTAAGTGTAAATTTAAACATCACATTTAAAGCATGTTCTTACAGTATAAAATAGCCTTTCGGTTTTCCATCCAACTTCAAGTGCTATGGTTCATGGTTCATCAGTAATCATTACCAGTCTCTTTGCTGGTGTCTCTTTGCTGAATAAGCCACATGATGTTCAGATATGAAAATATCAAGTATTGCACTCACTTCAGACCTACTTTTCTGCCCATATTTGCATTTGAAAAAAAATGCACTGTTTCTTAGAGTACTTAGAAGTGTGACATCTGTTGTTTGTGAACCAAGAGGAAGTTATTTTTCCATCTTTTCTTAATAGTTTTTATTGATTGGCTCAGTTTCGATGTAGAGGTAGAAGTTGAAGTGCCTTTTTCATTAAAAAAACAAAACCATTGAATTAAAGAGAAACTACTGAATAAAATAACTGAGAGACAATATTATGAGATTCAGAGACACAGATTAAATTGCACTGAGATTCTGTGATTTGTCTCTTGGGCTCTCCTACTGTAAGTACTAACGCTTTGCAAAACAGGACCTGGGTCTCGTGTTTCTTGTCTGAAAACACATTTAAGTTATATGAAGGATCTGTCCCAGAGTAGTTAAAAGGAAAACACTATAACCAACAAAAGACATTGTATAAAGCGATTAGATTTATCCACCTTTCCTTTGGGAATAAAATTGTATTTGCCCTTTCTTTTTTTTAATGTAAAATTGATGAATGGTGCTTTCATGGGAGTTGAAAAGAAAACAGAATTATTAATCCTGCAGATTTGGGAGAAAATGTCTCAGCCCATCCTTACCATTAATGCTGGTTACATTTCAGCTGTTCACACTTGGACATGAGTCAGTGGCTTCAGACTGGCTGTAAAGTACTTGGGTGCTTATTGCATGAACTTTATTTTTGGTACAACTTGGCTTTAACCTGCTTGGCTGAGTGAGATGGTGGCCTGGCTATGAGGACGAACCTACTGGAACCCCGCCCACAAGCTGGTATTAGCCAAGGTGCCACTGCAAGGGCGATATAGGGGATATTTATTTGAGCCTGGCACAGGGCTAGGCCTTCAAGCATCAAATAATAAAAGCAAGTCCACCTCCAGGCCCGCAAGCTTCTGAGTTTTTGAGTTGTTCAGTACATAATACCTAACAAATACTGTACATCCAGAACAAAACAAGGCCCAGGAATTATTGTAACCCTGGGATTAATCATGCAATCGGCAGGTGCGGGCTACTGTAACTGTAACAAACGTGATGCCAGAGAGGGAATAATGAAACATGAGGTTTGATTGTTCTGCATCTAGCTGTAATTCTTAACATGCTGTTGCAGTGTCAGCTGTCTTAAAACACCTCAAAAACATCAAAACGAGAACCTCGCTCTTGCTGTGAAGCTCAGTAAACCTGGCTCATAGACTCCTCCTCCCTATATTATATTTCATCAAGCAACAAGCAAAGCTGACATGTCGTTGATTGATGTGGCTGAGGCTACGCACTGTCATGTGAACAGAAAGCACTGTGCTTCGGTTGGCTAGATAGTCGTGGTTGTTGTTTTGCTGTGATTTATCGCCTGTGTGAGTGCATTCCACCTATCTATCATTTTACCTCATTTTAGGGCCTAAAAACGTTTTAGCTCAAATCCACTTGTGCTGCTCTCTGCCTAATGTATGGCAGTGAGTAAAAGGTTATAGTTCTAGTTTGTTTTGTGTGACAGTGTGCTTTTTCTCTGATTAAAAAAAAAATGTTTTCATACAGGTCAGGATACTTTACTATAACGTGTGAACTTTCTTTATTTTCTTTTGGTGATGGGAGATAAGCCATCAGATCTGGTTTAAATTAATAGTGGGTTTCTGTTCATTAGAAAGTGAACTGCGCATTTTCTGTCAACTCTGAGATTTTTTACAAGCGTGCTAACAGTTTGGTAAAACAAAACAACATTGGTTTCTGCAGGGATTGAATGCTAACGTTTGTAATTGCCCTTCAAGTTCATCAAACAGCAACAGAATTGTTTGGCGTTAACCCTTCACTGCTTTCCTACCAGGGCAGTCCCCAGACAAGATTAGAGTTAAAGCTATTTTTGCAACATTGCGTTTAACTCAATCCACGAGAAAAGAAAATCAAAGGAGTTTTAATCTCTTTGTGTTGCAGATTTTGCTGCAAACTTCTGATTATCTGAACAGACCAGTAGGGAGATAAAGGTTTGATTTCAATCTGCTCATTTGCAAGCTCAGTACGAGAACCTTGGTAAACTCCAAAAAACCTCTAATGCTTTCTGTGTGGATGCTGATTTAGAGATCACAGCTTTATCGTCTAAATTGTTGCACAGTGATCCAAGTAATTAATCTTGTACTGTACAATAGGGGGATTCTCTGGAATGATTAATTTGTCCATAATCCCCACTCCCAAACATAAGGGAAAGAGCTCTGAAGGAAACCCATAAGCAGACTGGTAAAATCTTTAGGTTTTGTCATTCAGGACTAATATGTGATTTTCAACTGACAATTTTTAATGTTTCTGCTGTGAAAAATCGAATCCAAGATTATAGGTCTAGGACTAGTCAGATTGATTAAAAAAACCAAGCACAAAATGCTTATAAATCATTTTTTATTTATGTTTTAGTCCATTGGAAGAAAATTTCTATAGTCTATGGCAGTACTACTAGGTTTCTCCAGGTATCTGGAGACACTTCGGACTAAAGTGAAACAAATTCAATAAATATTCTTATGTTGCTCTAGAAACTGAATTGATACCTAATTTCACTTCTTCCAAGGTATCCAAAAAAACATTTGGTGGAATATGTCATATGGTTCATATTTTGTGGCATGGTAATAAAGTGAAGCAAGGTCATTTCGGGCAAGCTCATCCGTTGTCAGAAAGGTGTTTATTCCTGGAAAGAGAAACACCAACCTGCAGCTCTATCCCGGAAACATGAGACATGTCTTTGGGTGGTGGGAAGAAACCAAAGGACCTGGAGGAAAATGCAAGAAGAACATGCAGACTCCACATAGACGGCTTTTCTAATCTGCAATCAAACCCAGGTTGCAAGAGCTGTGAGGCAACAGCATTGGTCATCATGACACTCAAGCTGTTTACAATACTCCAAAATTCTTCCTTCTTTTTTGAACATTTCACAGTGTGTTGCATTCCCTGCAAAATGCATTTATAAA